GGCTGCGGTTCGCTCTGGGTCCCCGGGGTCTTGACTGGGGCAGGGAGGGAGCCTTCTTGGCGGCAAAATGACTGGACTGTTCTTCAGATAACTTTCTCCTTAAAGAGGCTTTATAATTTTAACCAAGAATGAATTATATCTATTAATAAAGGCTACACCTGAGCGAAGGCTCTTAAATTTGAGAATTCGAAGCACTGTTGCTTTCCAGTCCGCTCAGTCTGTGGAGCTGACACCTTCAATTCAATCACACAAACAGTGCGTGTATGGTTTGGTTTGGTTTCTTTCAATTTATATTATGCCGTGTAGCTGTTGATGAGCAGCAAATTCATGCTTTGGTAAATAAGTGCTAGAATATATTTCTGAAATGTTTCTGTTACTTAAATCTCTCAGTACAAAGTTGTTTAACTTCATTTTAATCTGTGAGGTTAAAGCACATACTGGCCGCATATTCTCAAATCAGTCTATGTCATTGCTTTGCAATGTATAGTTTGTCTTATTCTTAGGGATCAGTTCAGCTAGTCCCAAAAGTATTTAATTTTTTTTGTTGTTCACTTTTGTAGATGGAAAACGTCCAGATAGGTTAAAATTTTCACAGAGAAATAATCCTGACAGAAATGGAGACGCATACGGTTTTCTTGTAGAGGAATGTACGTGAAGATAATTAAAGATGCTTCTAGGTGAGCAAGAACAATTCTTGTCCTACAATGGCGAAGTCCTTATATTTCAGCTGTCAAAAACAAAACATATGGAGGGAGCAGCTGATAAAACAATGAATTTATGTGTCAGAAGAATGGCGTTCAACAGAGACACTAAGCTGTTTGTTCAGAAGTCTTCTGGAGTATTCAGCATGCGTGCCAGTCACTTAAAAATTGAAATAATTTGTTGTAGCTGCACAACGGATTCCAGAACAGGGATTATTCTTCCCTGCATTTTGATGAAAAAGAAAAAAAAACCCAATGTTGTCAAATACCTTTTATTGTTGCTTCACAACTCAAATCAATTTGAGCAGTCCTTTCATTTTAAATTGGATTATGAGCTGAAAGAAGACGTCAGGTTGATTACTGGCCCTTCAGTCTTGTGGAGGCATGCCAACAAGCTGTTCTACATCTCTTCTAACACCTGCACGGTTCTAAGTGCTCCTGTTCAGCTTTCTTCTGTTGTGTGGACAGGTGAAATTGAGGATGAAGGCACTGTTGTCTTAGGGATAAGAACTGCTTGCCTGCCAGAGAGTGAAGATGAGGATGAGTTTTCCACTTCAGACAGAGCCATCTGGGGTAGTGAGTTCTTTGGATACGCAATTGAAACACAAAAAATGCTAACTGGCACATGCTTTATGCCTCATGCTTACAGCACAGTGGTATCTTCTGTCTACATCTGCAAGAATGAGATACTGAAAAAACAGCTCCAAATATCACTCGTTGCCATAACCCACAAGAATCAGCTTATTTGGTTCCAAGATGGTCTCCCTAAAGGTGTTTGTGAGCTTCCTTATGAGAAACCATGTTCAGTGAAAACAGCTGTAATCAGTAGCAATGATTTGCTATTTGTTGTGTCTTTTGCCTCCGGAAATGTCTGTGTTGTACAGAGGAGAGACAGCTTACAGGTATTTGTGGCTTTAAACAGCTCCCTTTTACTACTGTATCTTTTTTTGTATATATTTTCTTATTGGAAATGTCTGCAACTGAAAAGCTACGCGTTTAAGTTCTATAGATTTTTTTTTTCTTGTTATTGTTGCTTCTGTTAAAATAACCTGTCTAAAGTATGAGATTATTTTGCTGTCATTGCTTGCTGATATATCTGAAAATAAACCCTGGATTCTATTATTTAATAATAGATTTTATGAATGTGAGCCAAAACTTCTGTTGCTAATTGGAAGGTTCCATAGTATGAGAACTTGAAGTTGTAAGGTAGTTATGAGTGTGCCTACATAATTTGTGTTAAAGCGAAAGTAAACGGATATTCTTGCAAAGCATAAACTTCTCAGTGGAATTTAAAAGCCTTTTGAGTCTCACTTCCTAGTAACAAAAAGTATTGTTTCATGAAAATGACAAGAAGAGGCCTCGCTTTTGTTTCCTAAAGTCAGGAGAGACAAAGTTAACTGTGAGGGTTTTGTAATACTCTGTCAAGAAGACTTAGGTAACTCAAGAAATGAAAGTTTGTCCTATCTAGTCGTCAGCATTATTGTACAAATTTGTCTTTACCTCTCAAACATATTTAAGTGTGCAATGCAACAAAGATATTTCTGAATGTCAGAAGTATAATGTCTTCAACTGATCTGCAAGTATTACTGGTTCTAAATAAATGTTACAGCATTCAGCTGTTTAAGTACACTGAAAAGTTGCCATCTTCCTTGCAACCTGTATTCTGGAAAGTTATCTTTAAAGAGAAATGGCTAATTTTTCCCAGAGTTAACATAGGCTCTAAATGATGGAGCAAGAGTAAGAGTTTGCAACTTCTTAAAATACTGTATTCCACACACCTGAATAGGCTGCCTTTTTATAAAACCCAAGCTTCACCAAAACAAAATCTCAAATACAAGATTTATTCAAATATATGTATTCTAAAACCTCTTCTACTGTAGGTGGCCTCCAAATGGCAAAAAGTGAAGTCTGTTCTGGTGGATGATTTTATTGGCTCTGGAAGTGAGCAACTGTTACTGCTTTTTAAGGATGACTCCAATATAGACGTGTTAAGTACATTCGAAATAACGGATCTTGGAGAGGTCAACTATGCAGTAAGTTCAGCCTGCCTTTTCTCAGCTACGCAGTCTGTGCTTACTAAATTAAGAAAACCTCAACAAATCATTAAAGTATTGGTGCAAAGTGAAATTTTGTGTGCTGTGAAATGCCCTGAAGTTTGAATACAATGTTCCCCACTGTAATCATAAGATGTTACCTGAAGAGATTATTCTACTTCCTTGATAGCATCAACATTCTTTGGGGAAATTAAACTAATGCAGTTGAAAATGCTTCACATATGTAACAGGTTTGCTACAATGCTTACCTTTTGGCTAAGAACTCTTAATTAAAGCCATAGTGCTTGTTAATTTTCTTCTCATAATTGCGTCTTTCCATTATGTACTACCAAACGCTAATTGCTTTCAGAAGATAAGATTTTTCTTTTAAAATGCATACTGCGATTCTGCTGGTTTTCTGTATTTTCCCCCAGATTTTTATAATGCTGTGTAATAGCCTGTACCTTACTTTCAGCTTTTTAATTAATTCAGGGTTTTGTTTTGGTTTTTTTAGAGTGGTATTAATTATAAACATGATGTTTCTGCTGCAGAAGAATTGCAAGAGAATGGTTTGCTTACTGTTCAAGCCCTTGAAACAAGATTACAGGTTTGTACTCAATAGTTCTGCCTCCGTATTTTCTCCAAATTACTTTTCTGTATCATTACATTATCTAAAGGGTGAGGTTAATGATACTGTTTTTATTGGAGAAGTGGTTCAGGGAGAAGACAACATTGTTAAGTATCCATTTTTGAATCAGTGGTAGTCTGTGTTTCAGTTCTCTCAGTTGTTACAAATGCATTTGGGTAATTGAAGGGGTCTAATTTAATTAAAATTTTGAGATAAAGCTGAAGCTGTCCTATCAAAGCTTCATAACAGTCATTTCACTCAGATGTTTAAATACCAGTTTAATAAAACTAAAACGTTTACTTCTTTTGCTCCACATTACATACTTTGAGATAGTGTAGTGCCAGGTTCCCAGTGAGTGCCGATGAGTGGCAGTTAATCCTGAAAATAAAGAGCGTTATGGTCTGTTTCTTTGTCCACAGGCTACAGTCAAGTTGGCTTTTACTTTTGCCCAAATTAGTGACCATGGTTATTTCACTACCTGCTGATGTTTTTCCTCCTCTTACTAGCAATTTTATAAGGATAATTTTGCAAAGTACAGTAGGTGAAGCTAAAATGTATGCTTCTCTTAATTAGCGTCATTTATAAAACAAGCTGGGGGGGACTTGCCAGAGTCCCAAGTAATCAGTGGGAACATATCATTGCCTTTCTTTCTTTCTACCTTTCATCCT